TACTCGATACTGTCAAAAGACAAAGGATCGTGAAACAGAAAGTGACAAAATTATTCGAAATCCAGTAATCGCACAACGAAAGAAAAAACAACATATTAATTTGTTCAACTGAGTCCTTGTTTCTTGGGAAGCCATCTTTGCAGAAGTGGCATACGATTCTTAGTCGTTTCCGAGTTTTCTTTTGTTTTTGCGAAGTGCACCAGTCAATTTTCAGGGGGGATCCAGGATTTTTTAATGGGGGGTGGCTGATAACCAAACTATACTCGAAACTATTCGTTAATTTATTTTACGTTGTCCTACGTTTACCCCAAAACATGGCGATTTGGAGACTGTAACATTGTAAACTCTTGAAACGCCACAAAATAGAAGAAGTAGAGCGTAAAGAAATACCCTACTAACCTAGTCGGCCAAAAGCAAAGACGCCGTCATTCGTCTAGGGTGCAGGGCCACAAATTTCTCACAAGCCACGCTTCTATCGATGGTAACTGCATTTGCATACATGGCCAGCGATGACGGCCAAATCTGAGAGTCGTTCCGCGGTCATTGAGTTGCGACCCCTCCGTGCTTTCCAGAGGCAAAATGGCGAGAATTTTTAGACGTTCCCTCACGTTTGGGAAGAAGATGTTGTCTGCGTGTTATATGTCTGTGAGGAGACCGAGATGGATTCATAATACGGCGTTGCCTGTCGCTTCCATTGGTTCATTCATGGAAACAGTTCCTGACTAACGAAAGATAACGGGGAGAGTATCAGATGGTCCCACTTTTCATGCAATACTTGAGCAAGTTCCAGACGCCGATCTAGAATACATGCTGACGGATTTCCTAAAAGAGCGCCTACTAAGGCGCACGCTTCTAGTGGGGTCTGGAAGGGATGCTCCCCCGGGAAATGTTTGAAATTTTTTACTCCCTCAAGCTCCCTCATTTCTGGGTTTCTGAGTCATTCAGACAGAACATTAGCAAGTATTCAACTTCGAATGTTTTTCCATTTAAAATATATCTATTTATGACCGATTTTCGTAAAAAGTTGCAAACCGTTGTGGATCCGCGCCTGAGTTCTACTGTGGTTTCTTGAGACTTAGAGGTGATTACTTGAGGAATAAGAGCACAGAGCTCATAATGTGCCCTCTTTTCCTGAGAAGATTACAGCAAGGAAAGATATTGTCACCGGTAGTTTTCTCGATTTCTTTGGGAGCCATGTATTTAGGTATGTTTTTCCACGTATTGTATTTTGGTATATTTTTTGGTGAACTGTTCTGAACAAGGGTGGTTAGCAACCCAATCCCCCCCCTCCCCTGGATCCGCCCATGTTTTTGCGAAATTTATTGTCATTTTCTGTTCCAGGACTCTCTCAACTCTTTTAGTTAAAACACAATTGAAGACGAGAACCTAAGTGTCTAAAAATTTACTCCAGAAAGTTGGATCATATTAAATATTCCTGTTTAACTTGCACAGTAATTTACATGATAATACAGCACGAGCATCTCCTTCTCCCCCTTTCATCGTCCTACAAAACAAATACACGCACAACATCACACTCAACATAAGAAACTACAGTCCAATGAGGAAATCCTAAGATAAGAGGCCTTAAAGCTGAAGTAATTCCAGCCATTCCTATTTGCTGATTGGCTTCCCAATCATCAAGCTTAAAAACGCACTCTGCTACGCCAGAGAGAATTTGTCATTAACATTTTATATCTGAGCTCTGGGACATAAACATTATGTACTATTATATGGAAGGATTCAGCTACAGCATTTCAGGATTTTAGAAGAAGGAATTCAGTCTTAAGTCTACCATAAACTCGAAAATCACAAAACAATAATAAACACCATTTCACTTCCTTTGCACGGGTTAGGTTCTTATTTCAAAAACATTTAACCTAATTATTAACCACCAACTCAAAAATCCTTCGCAATGGAGGCCTTATAAACAAAGGCTGCTGAAAGTATAACCGACGGACAAAAAAAAAATGAACTCTTCACGTTAACACTAGAAGTCTTTACCTTTAGAACTTTTTGCATGTTTTGAATGCAAAACATTGACAATATTCTAGACTGTGAGCAGTCAATCTTTTTCTTCACATTTAGTGAGGGCGGTGCACGGGTGCGCAAGCGTGCGTCGAGTGGGGAAGCCACGGCACGCGAGAAACGAGGGCGGCAGCCCAAAGAGAAAAAGAGACACTGCTCATAGTCTGCGGACGATCTTACATTATCAAGTTCGAGGTTCCCTTTCTCGTCCTGCCACAAAATAAATCATGAAACGACATTCAAGAGCACAAAATTTCGAAATTAAATTTCAAGACAAGGGTTGAGGCCTAATTATCTCTCTTTTTAAAACACTTTTCCACGAAGGCTTTCCCTTCCAACTCAGAATCAGAAAACGACACCTCGCATTTAATTTTTAATGTTAAGTAAAAAAAAAGGGAGAAAGTCATCACCGCCATCTAACAAACGGAGACGCCGTTTACCAGCCTCTCGCAAGTAGAAACCTAATTAACCAATTGTAATTTCAGCGAGGATCTTTCTTAAACGCTGTTTAATGTTGTAGGAAGGCTTTACCTCAACAGTGGACAATCGCTCTAACTCAGGCAAGACTTGGGACTCGGGGGTCTGGTTTTCCATCTCCTATGACGTGAAAAAACGAAAGGTTCATTATCTTTGTACTGCCTTTCAAGGGCATGCAATGTCACGATATTTTGGAATTATTTTAAAACCCTAAACACACATTTCCGTGCTAGCAGAGGCCTCCTTTCCTCCCGTCCGCCGAATACCAGGGAAAAAAGACCTCTGTAGGAAACCCGCCCGCTGAATACCAGGGAAAAGAGACCTTCGCTAGCAGGGAACTCGCCCGCTAAATACCACGGAAAAGAGACCTTTGCTGGCAGGAAAAACACACATTAGAAGGAAAGAAAACCCTCAAATAATGCTTCAGTTCTATGTAAAAGGACTTTACGCCAGTACTACTAATAATAAGTGTCTGTGTCTTTGCCTTTCGATGCGGGATAGGATAGAAACGGATTGCAACTTGAATAAAACTGAGCCATCTTTTTCAAGTTTAACTCCTGTGTGCCGTCACGTGATTGAACATTACATGAATCATTTTTCTGTTTTGAGATTTCGGCCTGCCATTGTTAGACAGTTTAGACATTAGTCCGGTTTAGCAAAGTACAATAGTCATTGTCTCAGTTATTCGCCAGATTTTTTTACATCCGTCTTAGGCTATGTAAGTTCTCCCCTTTTTTTACCCTATGTAAAAGTTTCCTAAAGCTTGCTGGTAAAGCTGCCCTATCTTAGCCACGGCTTTATATCGGTTGAGGTAGCGGAACATCCTGTGTTGTCAACATATGTCCAAAAACCGATCAAAATTTCTTTTCCCTTTGACAGAATGTCTTTTAGAGTTCCAAGCATCACAAAATGACTGAAAACACTCAGTTAAAATTTCAACTTAGCTCTGACCAAAAAATGTGGAACTTACTATGACATACCACCTTCAAATATCGACAGTGAGTTATCCGATACGATATTAAGGATGTAACTAAGCGTGAATATTAATACTGGACGTACTGTCTTGTTGTTTCCTAAGTATATAATGCGCGCTATTTACAATTTTAACCACGCCCATGGTTGTACAGTATTATACAACTTATTTTACTCATGTACTTAACTTGCGATAGACCAATGCTCCATTCACTCAAAGCTTACACAGGTTTAAAAGGTGTTCAGTTAAACACGGTTTAAATTTGTTTTCTTCATAAAAGCTTTTTCCGATTGCAAATTTAGTGTAATTACGTAATACAGAAAAGTTTATTTGAATTTTGTGTAAAAGCCTGTGTTTCAGTTTACTTTTGCTGTTTTTAATTTTTCAAAACCTAGCTTATTTAAACATGTTTAGTTGGTGTGAATGAAGAATAAGCAATGGACAACGCCCCTTCCTTTTTACAACCTCCTTCTCCTGATAATTATTGCACAGTCCCGGCTCAAACAAAACCTTTATAAAAAATATCAGCAACCAACCTGTTCTTGATTCTCCTCTGATTCATATAATGCCTTTCCATCTTCAGATTCAATGACTTCTCCCTCGTTCTGGCAAAATCATACATTTTATGACACTAAACACCATCCATCTTCCATATGTACCTGTAAGCCCCCTAGCGTACTTATTTTAGAACGAACAGACATTGGAATGAAAGAAAACCCTGAAATAACGGTTCAGTTCTATTTCAAATGACTTTACGTACTACTATAGCTCCACTACAAGTGTAAGACTTTGGCTATTGATGGCCAGGATGCAAACGGATAGCAACTTGAAAAATTTGGGCCATCTTTTTCAACTTTAACTCCTGCGTGCCGTCACGTGATTGAACACATGAACAATCATTTATATGTTTCGTGATTTCCGCCTGCCGTTGTAAGACATTTTAGAGGCAGCATCTGCCACAGATCTTGTATGATTGTAATGTGAATGACTTATTTAATATAAACAAAAGGGGTGAGCTAATTACAAGGTGCGAACCCTTACATTAGTGACTGGACGTGCTGCAAAACACTGTAACCATCCGAACTACCAGATGGAGAGTTATCAATCACTTCATCGGAGTTACGAGAACAAAACGAACTCCTTTTTTGATCTACCAATAGTTAAACAAAACTCTTTTTCTAAATGCATTAGGTCTACTTGGCACAAAATGTAAGTGATATCTTCCCTAAGCAGCTTTTAAAAAAAGGAATCCTTTTTTTTTCCAAGGCAAAAGTCACTTTTGGCTAGCCTGTTCCAAGCATTCAGATAGAGGGGAAACGTTCTACTTTTGGCCTAAAATCAATTGAGTGCGACCTGCGAGAGAACAGCAGCCAATTTTTATCTGTAGTTTATTTTCAACAGAACCCGAAATCAATTTAGTTCAAGGGAAATAGAAACTTAGATGAAACAGAACAAAGATAAAGTAAATAAACTTAAACAAAAGAAGTGGATGACTAACCTGTTCCAGTTCCATCTCTGATTCAGATGATGAATCAGAAGTTGATTCAGATGATGAATCAGAAAAGAGATCAGATGATTCAGGTAAAAGCAAGGGGTTCCTTGGAATAGCCTGCAACAATAAAATAAAACTATTCTTAATGCACGGGTTCTCAATTTAAAACCTTTTAACGAAACTGCCAAGAATAACTACCGCCAACTCGGAAATCTTCAGTAAAAGACGCTAATTAATGAAGGTTCCAAAGCGTGTTTCATTATCTCTGACGGGCAGAAAAATAAAACTAAATAAAGTAAATAATGCATTAGCCAACTGCAACTCTGGCCCCCGACCCCAGCGGCATAGCGGGAGATAGCGAGGATTTAACGCAGCCAATGCCGGGATTTAAGACACATTTAACATGTTCGCCCCGGTGGCGGGAAAATTAACAAAATACCTGTTTTACCCATGTCATGAGCGGGGTTTAAACAGTAATACGAATTTTCGGAAGCGGGGATAGAAGCGGGGATTTAACATGAGTGAGTAAAGAAAAAGCCTCGTATCCTAAAGTTTTGTATGGCGGCAGAAGAGAGATGATGCCGCAGAGAATGATAATATTAAAACATAGGAGAAACAGGGCAGGAAGGCACAAAACAGGTTGCCCTAGTCTCAGACACAGAAAGAAAGTGTATAGAACGTCCTACACATTGGTCGAGCGTTGCCTCACAAGGACTTCACAAATCTCATTTGAGTCTCATTTGTTCACCTCGTACGTAAACGACGATAAATTAATCCCAAAAGCGCTTTCTAAGTTTCCCGATTCCTTTCCCATTACTTTCACGATTAGAAAATTGGAGAAAGACACAGCTGTTTCGCTTCCCAGGGGGTACTCCGGGTAATTCTCGGTGGGGGTGTGCCGCCTAGTTCTCCAAATCCTGACCCTGTTTCAGAACAAAAAGTGTCATTTTCCACACCCTTTTTCAGACATGACCTCTAAAATCCACACCCGCTTTCAGACCTGACATTTAGACAGAAATTAAGTCAGAATTACAATCAACCGGCCCGTGAAATTACTGTCCTCATTAGCGAGAGTCCGTAATAGGGGGAGTTTATTTAAGTCATATACTATTATATGGAAGGGTTCAGCTACTGCATTTCAGGATTTTAGAACAAGGAATTCAGTGTTGAGTCTACCATAAACTCGAAAATCACAAAACAATGCTAAACACCATTTTACTTCCTTTGCACGGGCTGGGTTCTCATTTCAAAAACATTTAACCTAATTATTAACCACCAACTCAGAAATCCTCCGCAATGGAGGCCTTATAAACGAAGGCTGCTGAGCGTGTAAAACCTTTTGCACCTTTTGAATGTAGAACATTAACAATATTCTAGAATGCGAACAGTCTATTTTTTTCTTCAGATTTAGTGAGGGCAGTGCACCCGTGCGCGAGTGTGAGTCGAACGGCGAAACCACGACACGTGAGAAACGAGGGCGGCAGCCCAAAGAAAAAAAGAGAGACTACTCATAGTCTACGGACGATCTTACATTATCAAGTTCGAGGTTCCCTTTCTCGTCCTGTCACAAAATAAATCATGAAACGACATTCAAAAGCAGAAAACTTCCAAATGAAATTTCAAGACAAGGGTAGAGGCCTAATTATCTATCTTTTAAAACACATTTCCACGAAGGCTTTCCCTTGCAACTCAGAATCAGAAACTAGGGAACGACACTTAGCATTTAGTTTTTAATGTTACGTAAAAAACACGTCAGAAAGTCATCACCATCAATTAACAAACGGAGATGCCGTTTAACAGCCTCGCGCAAGTAGAAGCCTAAATACCTACTTCTGTTTCCAGCGAGGATCTAACTGAGGGCCTGTTTACATGGAGGTGGGGGACCCCAGATACGTGATAATGTAAACGTGGTCAAATTAAAATGAACATTTATATGGCCAGGCGCGTTACCCCACCCAAGCGAGTTACCTCACCTACCTGGGGTCCCCCACACTTTCATGTAAACAGGCCCTTAAACGTTGTTTAAAAACAATGTCGAAGAAAGGCTTTACCTTAACAGTGAACAATTGTTCTAACTCAGGCAAGACTTGGGACTCGGAGGTTTGGTTTTCCATCTCCTATGACGTGAAAAAACGAAAGGTTCATCATCTTTGTACCGCCATTAAAGAGGGTCTAGCAATGTCATGACATTTTGGAATTATTTTTAAACTCTAAACACACATTTCCCTGCTACCAGAGGGCTCTTTTCCTCCCGCCCGCCGAATACCAGGAAAAAGAGACCTCTGCTGCCAGGGAAAACACACAATGGAAGGAAAGAAAACCCTGAAATAATGCTTCAGTTCTATTTAAAACGACTTGACGTACTACTAGACCTCAACTTTAATTGTCGGTGTCGTTGGCTTTCAATGCCGGCCAGGATGGAAATGGATTGCAACTTGAAAAAACGGGGCCAACTTTTTCACGTTTAACTCCTGTGCTACCTTTCCCGGTTGCAAAGTAAAAGTTCATTTGAATTTAGTGTAAAAGCCGGTGCTCTAGTTTACGTTTGCTATTTTTCATTCAGTTTTAAAACCTAGTTTAATAAAACACGTTTAGTTGGTGTCAACAGGGAATAAGCAATGGAAAACGCCCCTTCCTTTTTACAACCGGCCTACTCCTCCTAATAATTATTGTGCAGTCCCTTAAAAAAAAAACCTTCATGAAAAATATCAGCAACCCACCCGTTCTTGATCATCCACTGATTCATACAATGGGGTTTCTTCTTCAGTTTCAATGACTTCTCCATCGTTCTGGCAAAAATCATACATTTTAAGATGTTAAACACCATCCACCTTCTCTATGTAACTGTAAGCCCACCAGCGTACTTATTACTTTTAAAACGAACACACATTGGAATGAAGAAAACCTTAAAAAGATGGTTCAGTTATATTTAAAATGGCTTTACCTACTACTGTACCTCGACTATAAATTTAAGACTTTGGTTTTCATGGCCTGGATGAAAACGGATTGCAACTTGAAAAAATTGGGCCGACTTTTTCAAGTTTAACTCCTGTGTGCCGTCACGTGATTGAAAATTACACGAACAGTCATTTATGTTTCATGATTAAACACCGAGCTTACAAAAAGGGAATCTTTTTTTTTCAAGGCAAAAGTCACTTTTCGCTAGCCTGTTCCAAGCATTCAGATAGTGGGGAAATAGGCTACTTTTGGCCTAAAATCAACTGAGTGCGACCTGCGAGAGAACCGCTGCCAATTTTTATCTGTAGTTTATTTTTAACAGAACCCGAAATCAATTTAGTTCAAGGGAAATAAAAACTTAGATGAAACAGAACAAAGATAAAGTAAATAAACTTAAATGGAAGAAGTGGATGACTAACCTGATTTAGTTCCATGTCTGATTCAGATGATGAATCAGAAGTTGATTCAGATGATGAATCAGAAGTTGATTCAGATGATGAATCAGAAAAGAAATCAGGCAATTCAGGTAAAAGAGAGAGGTTCCTTAGAAAAGCCTGCAACAATAAAATAAAACTATTCTTAATGCACTGGTTCTCAATTTAAAACCTTTTAACGTAACTGCCAAGATTAACTGCCGCCAACTCGGAAATCTTCAGTAAAAGACGCTAATTAACGAAGGCTCCAACGCGTGTTTGATTATCTCTGACGGACAGAAAAATCTGCTTTACCCACGTCATGAGCGGGGATTAAACAGTAATACGAATTTTCGGAAGCGGGGATTTAACATGGGTGACTAAAGGAAAAGCCTCGTTTCCAAAAGTTTTGTATGGCGGCAGAAGAGAGATGATGCCGCAGAGAATGATAATATTAAAAACAGGGAAACAGAGCAGGAAGGCACAAAACAGGTTGCCCTAGTCTCAGACACAGAAAGAAAGTGTATAGAACGTCCTATATATTGGTCGAGCGTTGCCTTACAAGGACTTCACAAATCTCATTTAAGTCTTATTTGTTCACCTCGTACGTAAAAGACGATAAAATAATCCCAAAAGCGCTTTCTAAGTTTCCCGATTCCTCCCCCATTACTTTCACGATTAGAAAATTGGAGAAAGACAGAGCTATTTCGCTTCCCAAGGGGTACTCCGGGTAATTCTCGGTGGGGGTGTGCCGCCTAGTTCTCCAAATCCTGACCCTATTTCAGACCAAAAAGTGTCATTTTCCACACCCCTTTTCAGACCTGACCTGTAAAATCCACACCCGTTTTCAGACCTGACATTTAGGCAGAAATTATGTCAGAATTACAGTCAACCGGCCCTTTATAGCGGACACTGTAGGGACCTCAAATTAGTGTCCTCATTAGCGACAGTCTGTAATAGCGGGAGTTTGTTCAAGTCAAACGTCTGTAATTTGTTTTTGCCGGGGAATTTAGCTGCTGTCTGTATTATCGAGGCGTCCGCAAGGCGAGAGTTGACTATACCTATATGGCTTATATAAGAAAGTACCCCCCCCCCCCCTGGGTTTCGCTTAAGATCCCTTGCCTTTACAAGTATACCATACAGACAGTTACGTTTTTGTAAGCGATCTAACCACATTTTTCTACATTGGCTCCAGAGGTCCGTTCTCAGGAATTCGATAAGAAAAAAATCCTCTGGCACCCAGGGAAACATTTTTCATGAATTTGAAGGAACGCAATCGAGAGTTTCTATTAACAGGTCCGATGGTGTGAATTTTAAGAAACACAGAATACCAGATCGGACAGAGCGGTTGAAATAGAGCCTAGAACTACACTTTCCTAATTCCCTGCTATACGGGTCTTTACCAAACTGCTTGGCCCGAGAGCGGGAAAATTAGCGGTGTTTTAAACTAAACCAATGTTAAATTCCCCGCTTAGTCCCGGGGGTCGGGGGGCCGGAGTTTCAAATGACTGATGGATAAACTTAAAAAAACGAAGCTGGTGACTAAACCTGTTCCTGTTCAATCCCTTTTTTAGATGACGAATAAGCTTATCAATTTAACTGTAACCCACAGATAAGAACCTGCTTGATCTCGTTTGGCCAACCTGGTTCTAATATTGTTGGTAATAAAGAAGCAAATTTCTACCAGCAGGTTATTAAGCCACTAGGTTCTTACCCGCGGGTTTTTACTGTATTAAAACGTAACTCATTAGTACCAACTCGGAAATCCTCCGTAATTCTCTATTTCCAATTGCCCATAATACACTCTGTTTGCCCCCCAAATTTTGCATAAACCATTGTTTTTAAATGCTCCTGGGAGTATTGCATTTTCCCAAGAGCATTTTAAGACAATAAGTTGTGCAAAATTTGGGGGGCAAACAGAGTGTATTATGGGCAATTGGAAAATAGTCAATGGAGACTTACAAATGAAGGCTCCTGAGCCTAATTGATTATTTCTGACGGACAGAAAAATAGAACTGTTCACATAAACACTGAAAATCTTACTAATATTAATAAATAAACTTTCACAAAAATAGGTGAGTGATGACTAACCTGCTCCTGTTCATGCGCTGATTCAGGTGATGAATCAGGAAAGAGGTCAGGGTACATTCTTTTCCAGAGGTTCTCTGATGGCCATTTATGTTCAGGTTTGGGGTTTCCTTTATCATCCTGCAACAAAATACAAAACAATACTTAAAACTACCCATCTCCCTTTAATAAAGTGTGGATGTGTACACATTTCAAAACCTTCATTTTAAGTACAATGCAATTACACTGACCAACGAAAGACAGTTGTTTATATGACAATAACTTTCACAAGATGTACTAAGTTCAAGACAAGCCTCGTGTGCCGAAACCAAAGATCACCACTCAAAACTTGGCCTATATAATAAAAGGCAGTTTGTGACTGCATGTGGCTACTGTTTTAGTATTGTAGAATATATTGCAATAAAAAAAGGAATGAATGTAGGAAACTATGGAAATTCAAATTGTTTATCCATAAATATACTATCTTTGCTCTAGAAGGTATATATTTAAAAAACATCAACAACAAAACAAATAAGCAAACAAAACAAAAACGAAAAAACAAAAGAGAAAGACATAGGGAAAAAAGAAACGCTACTGAGCAGGATTTGAACCCGGCACCTTGTCAAAAATTATACGAGCCCAAGGTTAATGTTTTAATAACAACTGACAAACTATTTTTAAGCGTCTTTACAGTTATTTGCTGAGAGAAATTTTTCCTAGCGAAGATTTTGACTTCTCTTGCGTGATGATAAGGGATGTGGGGGAGGACCCTCTCCCTCCGGCGTTGCGTGACATAGAGAGAGAGAGAGAGGGGGCGGGGGCAGAACTGCACTAAACACACCGTGGTTATGCCTTCTTTATGTGGTATGTTGGTGTAGAGGCGAAGCGCTGAAGGTCAAACACTTCCTTTACGACTAAGTTCAAGAAACGAGTGTTACCCGTCCCCAATATTTAAAGAAAGTTTAGAGAGGAGGGAGATTTACCCCCCTCACCCCACTTGGCGGAATTGGAGAGAGAAACATTATCTTTCTCAAGGCGCATGAACAAAAAATTCGCATTCAAAATAGTGGAATCAAAATCAAAATTAGCAAATCCTTTTTCTTTTCTTTTGAAAATATATTTAGCCTTACAAAATTCGCAGATCACAGTGTATTTTTGTGCGGGCGGGAATTTGTTACGTAGTAAAACGAAAGGCGGGAAAATGTCATCACGTGAAAAATCATCCCAGGTGGATTTAACCAATCAGCTGCCGCCACGTCACTATGCTTTGAATGACATCGTTCATCCTTTGTTGTTTTTGTACTTTGTTCAGTTCGCTCTACAACGGCAAACTGTTCAGGATGAACTCAAAATTTAATAAGAAAACATCAAGGAAATTATTTTACACAAGACAGGGATTCATCTCTTTTTACTCAGGAATATGCTAAGGAGTTGTTCGAAGCTCAAGGAAACATCATTTATAAGGATATTTCACAAAAGTCTAAAGCTCCGCAGGATTTGATTTGTATGGCGAGTGTTCTTGGAAAGTTGAAAACAAACTTATGCTATTTACGCAATGAAAATCATGCAATGGACACTTATGCTATACAGTGGAGAACAGCGAAGTGTTTACCTGTAAGGAAATTTTTTTTGGTGTTGCTTTCAACCGTTGTCTCGGAGATACAATTTTTTTGCGCGGGTTGTTATTTCAAAAACCAACGCTTCACCGAACTGCAAGGACCAGTATTTACCAAAGAAACGCTCAAGAACTAACAAAGGAACAGCTATAAAAAAGACTTGTCTGTTTTCTGGACTTTCAAGGAACTTCACTTGACTTAAACTGATTTTATAGGAACCCTGGACGATAAATGTGAAACTGTGAGTTCAATGTGTTTACTCCTTGCTCATTTGTTTGAATTGAACATGAACTGAACATCTTTCATTTGCTTTTATGATTGTTGTTTGTTACTTTATGAAAAAGTATGAATTAAAATTGATTCAGAAATTAATACTGTGGAAATTATTTGCTTTTGTTTTGCTAAAAGTTCTTGTTTTCACCCAATAATATCATCTTATGGCTGCTTGAAGATAAGAAATTTCTCCTTTTGCGTTCAACTCCATGTTTTAATATCAGCTAAAGTTACTTGTTCTTAACGTTCTCAGTTAAAACATTTTATGGAGTTAGTTTAATCAGTTGAAAGAAATGAATTTGAAATGATACTTTGAATCTGCTAAAGTTTGTGATTTGATTTCAAAAGCAAATCTCGTGTTTTGTCGAGTATAAAAATGACAAAGAAAGGAAAATGGCGAAAGGCAAGAGCTGAGTAGAAATAAACTGTAAACAAAGAATAAAGAAACAAATTGCGACAAAATTGGAAAACTTACGTGGTAGGGTGACACCAGTTGAGTGTTGTTTCCGTGCTGCTGTACAGCTGATGTGAGATTCATCACCTGCTGTGGAGTCATCTTCACTCCTTCAAGCCCCAGTCCCTCCACGTGAGGAGCGCAGCTGAGATGTTTTATCAAGCTGTCGACTCCTGCACCCAGAAGAGGATTGAATGACATGTCGAGCACCTTCAAGTTTGGAAGATCTTGTTCAAATACTCTGCTGATGAACTCCACAGCAGGTGATGATGTTACATTGATATTCCAGAGTGCTAACATCTCCAGTTTGTGTGTTGGGATGCTCCTCAGTAGAGACTCTGTTACCTCAGCATCAAACACTTCACCGACTTTACCCCAAACCCATATCACGTGTGGAGCGGTGACAAACAACATCATCTCAATCAGCTGTTCCACTTCTGACCTGTTCACATCAGAAGCTTTAATCCTCCGAACCCTGGAGAGACCATGACGCTTTGAACAACAGCTGCTGCTGCTCTCTTCACTTGACTCATCACCATTCATGTTTGTCTTCTTTGTTGTCTCTTCTGAACTAACTAACGTCTTTACCATTTTAAAAGGAAGAGGAGTGCCCTCACTTTTTACAATTTTAGTAAAATAAAGGTGAGTGTTGTTTTCTTCTTTCATTAAAAAAAACTCGTCAACACTACGCCGTGGAAATACATTCAAAAATTCTGATGCTTTCTGTTCTCCTGTTCTACTAGCTATAACAGCGTTTAATTGCTGTGCTAAAGTTATTAAATGATTATAACTTTGCTCTGTATACTGGTCGCTATAAGAGAAAAATATGTACATAAGTGAAGCGGTAGTTTTAACAAAATTTTCCTTTGCTGCAATATTCAGCTGGTCAGGATTTATTAAAAAAACACCTCCTAGATTAGAAAGAAAATTGGGGGAAAGTTCTGTTCTCGTGTCTGCTGAGCAGTAGAAGAATAAATGTGTACATAGAGTTAGAAGATTTCTTTGTTCATTAGACAAATCTTCGAGTGACGGTGCTTCGTTATCGAAGTTGTACTCTCCGGCTTCCTTCGCCGCCATTTCCAACAGATAAATCAAGATCTCGCGCGCGGCTTCTTCTGACATTTCAGCAGCAAATTTAAAAGCTTCATTCAACTTTAAGATCTTTTCAACTGAGTCGACTTTGAAAAGGGAATTGTTTTTACTTTCTTGAGATAACAGTTCTTCTTTTAGAAATAAAGAAGCCAAAAACTCCTGCATGGATTTGTGAATGAAGTGCACGGCTTTGCACGGGTTAACAGCGGACATGTTTAGCAGCTGAAACAACCCGGCCTCGATCAGTTTCTCAGTCAAAACGTAATCCGGCCGTTTACTGAGAGGAAAATAAAGTAAATCTTGTAGAAGTGCGTCAAACGCTAGTTCTCCTACTTTACAGAGTTCCTGTTTGTGATCGTCAACTTTTTCCGCCGGCTTTTTTTGTTTTTCCGACATGTGATTAAACATAGTCTGTAGAAACTGAAGGTATACCATCACCCGTGATGAAGGTAGTCCTTCACGATCCTTTTCCTTCCAAGCTAAAGACAGCATTAAAAGTACCATAGGTATTTTTGCTACGTCCTCCAGACTTTGTTGTTTCAAATACCTGAAAAACTCTTTAACATCTTGATCATTTTTCAAGAATCTACGGGCGAACTCTTCTTGTCTCTCACGGTCGAAACCGTCGATCTCAAATTGAGCATCGCTGGAACTTTTCAATCCATCTCCTTTCATGTCTCTAGACGTTATAATAACACAACAATCCCTCAACTGCTTTTTCTCCCAGATTTGAAGAACAGGTGATTGGCTTGCTGCGCTGTGTACGTACTCATCGTAGCCGTCCAAAATAAGCAACACGTTTTCTTGGTGGCGACGAACGTAATCGTACAGGTTTTCAGTGGAAACTGGGCCATCACTCGCGAGAAGATTAGCATCGTTCAGAATGGCAGGGACATCGTTGAGGTCGCAAACATCACGTAATTTGACCAAAAGTACGAGATCAAATCTTCCCGTTGTTCCTTTAAATCTGTGCTGGGACCAGTCGAATGTAGCTTTCTGCGTAAAAACGGTCTTGCCGATACCTGGTCGTCCGTGCACCAAAATGCGCTTGGGCGTATGATGAAGTCTTCCGCCGTCAAAAATGTCGGTGTACCGTTTAAGTTGTTTTTGTGTTAGTCCGCTGGGCTTCTTCTCATCCATAAGCCAAGACAACTGGGTGTAAATTTCATCGATATGAACGGCAGAGCTTTGGTCCCACGGAACGATTTTGACTTTGCTGTTGGTTTCATAAATTGATCGCAGCTGTTTCTGGCACTCCTCGAGGCAACGAGAATCTGTTGAGGAAAATTTTACGTTCCTTTTCAGGGAGGTAGTTGACGCACAAAATATAGGCCCTCATTTATATAAAATGATCAGATCACCAAATATAAATAGAATTTCCATATTTAAAAACAAATTATCCTCAACTCATGATACACCAACAGAAATGTAAGTAACAGTGCATGTAGATATCAGGGCCCTAAGACACCAGAATATAGTGTAGGAATATAAATACTACGGTCAAAAATAGAAGGAATGCTCTTTATTAATTTAATTTGTTAATTCATTTATCTATTCCATTTTCTTCTTTTTCGCCTGCTTACACACTGACTTTAATATGGATGGGGAGTTAACGAGAAAATCTAACAGTTTATTTAGCTTCCCAGCTCGCACTTATTATTTCTCTTATATTATAAAGTTATAACCTAGCACAAATTTCAGTTATTAAAAAGTTAAAAATGTAATTTCACTGTGAGCTAAATAAAGTATCATTAATTATCACAATTACAAATTTTGAATATGGCGGGATGGGCAGCCTTGGCCGGGTTGAGTGCTAAAAATAATTCTTATTTTTTATAACTGACCTCGAGGATTAACGCTGGTTAAAAATACCTTTGCAAAATTCTAACAGAAAAATTGAATGAAAAGAAGAATTTGACGTTTGAAGTATCACATCATGCTTCTTCTTTGCTGCTTTTTTTTAAATAAATATAACAACTGCGACAATAATGATCATTTTGTATTGCAATAATTATTACAAATGATAAAAGTCATTTTCATATTAAAATAAGCGTGTTTAAAGGAGCTGTGTCACGAAATCAGGCAAATTAGGAAATTACAAAATACCCGTTAAATTAAGAGAAACATAAAAATAACCGCTTAAAACGTTAAAGGAAGTTTAAAATAACATAAAAGAAACAACAGATGCCACGGATGGGCAAAAATGAAGAAGATTGAAACGGATTGAAATTAGGGTTTTTGAAAACTGTTCAGCCTAACAGTGTTTCAAAGTTTGTCCCCGCTGATTGAAACTTCAAAAATAATGTTCAGGAGACATATTTGTTTGTCTCGGATCTCTGATTTTGTCATTTACGTGTAATTTCTTTGCTTACTTTAAGTTCTATAGCGATTGAGGGCGATTAATTGGCAAAATTAAAGAAAATGAACTAGACTGCCGTGACACAGCCCCTTTAATCTACTGTATGTCTTGTACCATTTCTGATTTATTGGATATAATAGTACCTGGCAACTCCTGCTTAGTGGCCGTAGAGCTAGAGGGCTGTTTCCCTGCTGACAGGTCTGTGAGTAAAACAAAATAGAATAAAAATTTAAAAAATATTTGGAGAAAATGTTTATCAATCTGTCAGTTTTTTTACCACTCACATTTTAGTTTCTGGGTCTGAATAATAAAGTTTCAATAACAAAAAGCACTGAGCAGCTTGTCTTCGAACTGAAAGCTTACACCTTAGCTTTTACTGAATTGTTCACTAAATGATGTCTGGTCGCAGTGTGCACAATTTTAGACAATAAATTTATGTTTTAAACTTGGTTATGTAGGATTTCAGCTGTACACTGAGTTGATTTTGAAAGGCATCTAGTAAGCAATTGCAGTTCAAAAACATTTTCAAAACAGGAAAAAAAAAACTAAAATATTTCCTGGGCCTTTCAAAAGCATAGCAATCAACCAGAGAGAGGGTAGAGTTCTAGAATGATCTCAAAGCAGAAAATAAAGCCTGCAATGCAGAGAGCTTACTGGTTAGGGTTCAGGGCTATTACCATGGTTTTAAGTTGCCGAGTAGGGAATAGAACATCCTGAAAATTCTTTCAGTCCTATTTTCCTATTATTTCCTATTAAAGTGACCAAGGGTCATGCTCATAGCAGCCAGGAGAAATCCATGCTTGTTAACCCTTACTGAAATCCCTGTAAAGTTGGTTGCCATTGTTCTCAGCGAGTGGGGGAAGGCGAGGGAGAAGGAGATACTACCCTATTAAACAACTGAGGTGCTACTCAAATAAAAAATTCAAAAAGTATCCCTAGAAGGTACAGGAATCTTCCTTTGTCAGCATGGAAGAAATTCATTTTAAGCTCTATAAAAGAGTCCTCCTTTTTTTTTTTTTGGAACTGCTTTCCAAAAAATATTAAAGATAACAGGAGTGCTTGTCAAAATAAATAAATAAATAAATAATATTAAATAAAAATCATACCTAGAGGGTAGGAGAATCTTACTTTGTGGGCATGGCAGAAATTCACTTTAACCGCTGGGAGATACCAAAAGGAGGAGATACCCCTCTATAGATATAAATGGGGAGCTTAAAAAACAACAACAACAGAAACAAACAAACAAAACCAAAAAAAAAACAGGGGTTTTGTAAAAAAAAAAAGGAAAGGACCCCTACAAAGTAACAGAATCTAGCTTTGTGGGCGTGTAGGAAATTAATTTTAATGCCTAAGAAGTATCAAAAATTACTTGAGAAACAAAATAATTCCCACCCAACCTTACAGGCCCCTAACAGATACCGCTGAAGCTCTAAACAGGAGTCATTTTAGACTTGAGGTTCCTAAGTATGCACTTACCCAGTACCAACCCACAAATCTTACTGCCTAAAATAGTATGACGAGCAGACAGTCAATTTTATCAGGAAACATCTCCCTCCTGTCCTTCTGACCAATTTCTTCACATTTTTCTGACAATTTTTCTTTTACCCATCTTATAGTTTCCAACAGTTGTGAGTTGACAAAGAAAACGTTGAACTCTACCCTTTTTAAAGTTTATTATAAAAAGAGATTAATTAACGACGTTTGAAAAATGTGGCTGAGTATTTTAAATCAACCTCAGTACTTAACCAAAAACACTTCTGCAAAAATGTGAAGATTTAATTATGATATGGTTTCATTTAAGAGCATATTGTCACCTACCTTCATAATGAGGCCATTGTTCAAACACAAATGGATCCTTCAACATGTTGGACACAAGAGAAGCTGCCATTATGCATGCATGACTCTCCCAAGAATTTTCTGCAGGGTTGGTACCATCGGCAAAGTGAGAAATACCTTTTACAATCACCCATTCAATCTTAAGATCATGTGCAGCAGCAAAAAGGCCTGGAAAAAACAACAACAAATCACTAAAAATTCAAGATGCAAACAGATCCACCAGTGAGCATCACAGCCAGGGTTGATCAAGATGTGACAACATAAACAATATTATTTACCATGCAAACAGGTAGGCAGAATATAGTAATAGTGATTTTAAAAGGCAGATATAAATCAGCATATTTAAAAAATTAAAAAAACAGGACAAACAAACAAAAAACCAGCTTATGCATTAGGATGTTAATAGAATTTAACTATCCTTTTGTATTTTATCCAAAGGAAAACACTACATAAACTACTGTCCTCCGATCAATTTTTTATGCATAATTTAGTATAGAAAATACAGCAAGTTAAACATCATTGTTCAAACATAGAATAGATCTTAAAAAATCAGATTGAAAACAGGATCACAAAGGATCATAACCAGCACCCATTTACACTGCACCTGGGTGGAGAGGGACAAAGTGAATCAAAGTTTCTTGTCCAAGGAAACAGCACAAAGTGCGGCAAAGCCTTAACCTGGACCTTCTAGATCTTAAGTTTGAGATGTACACCACGGGCCACCACTCGTCTCGTAAGAAAATGTAACAAGAGAAGAATGATGTCATTTAACAGGGAATAAATATCTTACCTTCACCACCAAATGCAAATGCAGTAGCTTGAGTAATATGAGACATGTTTTGCTGTTTAGCACTGACTGGGTTTATGCCACTTAAAATATCCCCATCACAGCAGACCTGAACTTTACGATCTTCTGGACGTTTTAATGGAGGAATCCAGCCATGATCTGCATGCCTGACAAGGTGCAAGATACCTCTTCCCACCGGGGTTTTTAATGATTCAGTTGTAAGCTTAGAGGATACAACCACATCACCTAGCTGTAACTTGGTGACTTCTGGGTTCAAGCCCACACAGTTGCCAACATAGAAAACAGCTTTGGGTCTCAGTTCCACCACAGCATTCTTAACAGTGACCAGTGAACCATGTGGAGCAGAAGAGCCTTCAGAACATGTCATCAAAGCAACTTTTAGAGGCACATCTCCGCTTTTACCCATGGTCCCAAAGTACACATATCCAAGGTTCACATGATAGCTTTTAAAGGAATTTCTTAAGTATGTATAACAGGCTAGGAACTCACAGTCCTTTACTGTCAACAAAAGAATGTCAATTGGAAGACGGACTTCATTCCAAGGTTTAAATGTGTTAGAAAGATCACTTTTCTTGGGAAGTTCTAGGGTGAGTGTAGGTGGAACATCTGCCATATTCTTATGAGCACTATTTCCTTTTCCTATTAAGTTCTTGGTCCTGTGCCATGATGTCTCGATTAACAATTTCCCTAAAATGTCAAAAAGTAAGATCACAAATTATTGTTAGATAATAGAAAGAAAAGATAATTATCAACCTCCCACTAACTTGAAGTAAATTTTGTTTCCGTTCAGATAATTTCTATACAATTTTACCCTCAAAAACTCTGACCATATTTTAACCACATGAGAATTAAAAAAAACCCCCAGTGACAGCTGCGGTCAAAAACATCGAATTTCTCTCAGAACAATCGTGTTTTCTTTGAGCTTCTTTATTTTTTTGTTGGTTCAATTCAAATACATTGTTTAGCACTGCATTGATTAATCAAGCTTTGTTGCTCAATTTCTTTTTCAAAATATCACTCTCTGTATCTCTTGCTGATCTTGAAGTGAAGTGCACCTTATTCTCAATTAATTAATTTCCAGAGTATTTAATTTGAGCCCTATACTTTTCGCAAGTATTTAATTTCATGATTTTTAGC